CTTGTGTCATTACCAGAAGCAGAGACTGCAAACTTTGCCTGTTGAGGGTCAGGGAGCAAATCTTTCGGGTTTGGGGGGCCTCAAAGGCTCTGTTGCAACTAGTCAATCAGCTCTGCGGCTGCAAAGCGACCACAGACATTCTACAGCATGGGTGGCGTGGCTGTGTTCCAGTGAAAGTTTGCAAACTCAGGCAGCAGGCTGGATTTGGCCCCAGGCTCTGGTTGCAGGCTCTTGATCCAAAGGTCACGGTTTTGGAATTTACATTTTAAGCCCTCCAACTGTAAATTATGCTACTGATGGGGACATTTTAATTAGGCAGAAAATAATGACCTGTATCGACTCAAGTATTTCCTGATGTGACTTAACTGCTCTTGTTCCTATAAACATTAGGACATAATCTTGCCCTGGGTCAAACTAGTTTCCTTGGTCAGGCTCACGGAGGTGGGTTGTGTGTTTGCTTTTTTCTTTCTCCCACTTTTCCTCTGGTTTTGATCTCAGATTAGACAGCTAGCAGCAGTGACATTTAAGTCTACACCAGATCCAGGTGTTAACTACAGACCCGGGGCTCGGGGTTCTACCGAGACTCAAATCAGTCACTGTGAGAGGGGTTCAGCACAGCCACCCCGTGTCACTGTCCTTCAGGCCCAGGCCTGGGTCGGGAGCACCAGGCAGACTCCAAGGAAGGAGCGAGGGGGTCAGATGGGAGAGCGAGGAAGCACCTTGTTGGTTAACCTGTGTGCATTTGGAAAAGGTATCAAATGTTCGTGAAATCCTTGAAAATAAAAATTCTCACCTGCAAATGGCCTAAACTAGGTCATTCAAATCTCAAGTCATCTGCCATTTCTTCTGACCTGACCAATTCTTCCTGTAAAGGGGCCAGGGTATAGGGCAATCCTATACCCTGGAGTCCCCATCACTGGTCTGCCAGAGGTGGTGTCTGCAAGGGAGCAGGCAGGCAGGTCCCAGTCCCTTTTTGGCTGCCAGGCGGGAACAGCAGAGCATGTGGCGTTAGCAGCTAATAATTAAAACAATAGTGTTTCAAGCTGTGGGTTGAGATTTTCAAACCCACATCAAGTCCACAGGTGGTTGACACTAGCTCTCTCTGGAATAGCGCTCACCTTCTCCCAACTGCCGAAAGCTCTCCTGCCCTGTGTCAGAAATGGGGTTCTTTTGTCGATGCCACTCTTGACCTGTGACCGTGCTCAGCTGAGGCTATCACAGGTCTGAATGCCCCGCTCCACGCAAGACACGGCAGTGTTTACATGCGAGAACGCAGGTTTTAAAGGACTTCACGGGCCTCCACCCCCAGGATCCAAGCTCCGAGCTACAAAGTGGCATCTTCGACCTCTTGTGAACACAAGTGTGTGTGAGAAAACCCTCCGATGCACAGACCACACATCTCAGCAAAAAACTGGCGTGGAAAGGGAAACAGGTGTGCCCACTGATTCCCTCCAAGACACTTCCAGGGCACCAGTGCCAGGCTCTGTTCTCACCCATGGGCCGCGTTCCTGGGGAGGAAACGACAAGGGAGGAAATAATGAAGGGAATTTCAGCAAGGGCACACCTGGGGCAGGGCTGGTGGAGATACCACCACTTACAAGCGTGGAACCCAGAGCAGTGCAATCCGGAAGAACGTGCAGGGGCCCGGAGTCTGAGGCTGATTCGGTGTTTCTGCTCTACCTGCACACAATGATGTTTCTTTTCTTCATGCAAAGAAAAAGGTAAGTGCCTATTTTGAATTTGCTAATGCAGGCACTTCTTTTATTTGTACCAAGCTGCATAATATGGGTTTTGTAAAGTCCGCAGGATACACTTCTAATGGAAACACTCGTACACGACTGTACACCACCAAAGCCATAAATTACCGTGATTTTGTGCCCCCCGCGGGTATGAGTTCCACCGTACTTCAGGAACGCCACTTTCACTTACAAAAACTCTACAAATATGTTTTGTCATAAAAACAAACATTAGATGAAAACTGTGCTCACAGACATGAAGTATGCAGTTCAGTCATTGCAGACTTCAGGAATGAATTGTACTGGGAAGAACAATTTGCACTCTAAAGCCTGCTTAATAATTTCCTGGAATTCACAGACTCGGCAATTATGCCAGGAAATAGGTATTTGATTAAATAGAGGATAACCTCCCAGTGTAAGCTGTCCAGACTGGGAACTTCCTGTGAAAACGATTTTTCTTGTTTTTTGTTTTTGAATAAATAGAATACGCTTAAGTGAGTCCAGTTTTACTTTTAGCTGGAGTGCTTGTTTTGTGTATTCTCAGTGACTCAGTGACTCCTCAGAGTACTGGCGCTGTGACATACAGCTGTGATTCTGGGTGCATAGCTTCTGTAAGTCCTTGTTTTCTTGCCCGGAGTATCAGGCAAGAGGGGTGTCTGGCACAGGATGGTGCAGACTCGGCGTTAGCTATGCAACTCGATTTACCCTGAACTCCAAGCCAGGATGGCGCTTCACAAGGGATACAGACAGGAGACAAAGAGCTGGTTGGTTTGCAGGGGGTTCACAGCCTGTGAGATACTCGCTCAATTTCCAGTGGCTCCAGGAGCCCCGGAGAGAGAAAAATTAATACACTGCGTGGGAAGAGGGCCCGAGAAAGTGGCAGAAAGGTGACACTGATGCCAGCCTGGGATGCATTCAGGAGAAAGGAATTAGGAGTGTGAAGGCAGAGAGGAAAGGTGTGCTGAAGACAGTGCGTGAGGGTGGATCCGAGTCATTTATGCAGCTGTGAAACCTTCAGACCCGAGATAAAATCCCCGATGTTGTAAGTGCTGACTTATCACATACCCAACCCAACTAATTCTTGCCAACTTTGTACCCCAGGGATTTCAGATTAGCTACCTGCCTGTCCTTAAGCAGATTAGCAGTGACTTCACTGGTTCCCCACAAAAACTGCACTCCAAGGAGCCTGGTAACAACAGAGGCCACCACACAATTCCTAATTTAAAATTTCTAGAGTGAAGTCCTTGAATTAGCTAAAAGTGGTTATGCAAAGTTTGACAAGATAAAAATAAGAAGCCCACAGGTTTTTGGAATACAATTTATTCAAAGCATTTCACATCAAAATTAGGTTCAAATACATGGATGTTGAATTACATATGAAATGCTATAGTTTCTAAAAGTTTACAATGATATTTACTTTTTAGAATTAGCCATTTGCTTGTAACTTGAGTCTAAAATGTATGACTAAGTGTTGCTATAATTGTGTTTACTCCGTATTTCTACTTAATTTCACTGGTAGATATTTAGGAAGCACTCATAAGCCCACCTAGGACATACAATTATTAAATTTTAAATCCCTACATACAAAATGGAAAGCCAATCAGTGCTAAACATACATGACAAGGTAGTTAGTTCTTTGTCACTGCATGTCGTGTTTTCCAGCCCCGTGTTTAGAACGCCGGGTGGGGAGTTGTGCCACTCTCTCTCTGCACTACAGCCACGGTTACCAGGTCCACATGCACTGCTGGCCTGGAGTCACTTCGTGTCACTGAGATTGTACTCAGTGTCCCCATGGGGGACTATGAAGCCCAAGTACACCCCAAGGTTACGCCTTACTTTAGAGACCTAGGTTAAAGAATAGGAGTAAAACTTAGCTCAACTATGAGCAGAACTGCAAAAACCAAGGTCTGTGTCAGTGGAATCACTCATGGCGTGAGGCTCACGGCCGTCAGACGACACCGAGACTCCGGCAGGTGCAGGTCCTGCCCTCCGGGGTGCACAGAGGAGAGCATCGGGGAGTCCTGCAGGCCGGGCCGGGCACTGGCCGGGCCCGAGTCCTTAGGTCTAAGGAGAAGAAAGGTGAAGAAAAGCATGGCCAGCGTTGTAACATTTATTTCTGGGCTTTCCTCCACCATCCCTCCCTCTCAAGCCATCCTTGGGCTCCAGTTGCAGGAAGGCTGGCCCCACGAGGCACAGGTCAGCAGCTCCAGTAGCCAAGGCCCACATCCTTCCCCGAGGCAAGGCCACCCCTTGAGGGAACAGTGGAACCAGGTAAGGGGTCCCCGAAACCAATACAGTAGGTGGTCACCAATTTCAAATAGACGAGGAACACCACAAAATGGGGATAATTCTCAAACAAAACATTTTCAACTTCTTTAGTAATTAATGACCTAATCCCCATTCCTTTGTAATGGCAAACTGTTTTGACTACCATCTTCAATTCTTTCACAGCCACCACTTACAATGTGGTGACAGGTGTGGAAGCCCGTTTGGGGGTAACTTTGAAAAAGCTAAATACCAACCAAGACTTCACTCCTTTGTGTATTAAATCATGTAGTTATAGGAATATGAGTGGAAAGGGCCAAGCCCAGTATTGGATGTATTTTGTGCTGACAAAGACATGAAACCAAAACAGGAGGAAACACCTTGCTCCATTTCACGATCAAACTCACGAATGAGGCTCAGTTTCAGAGACTCCTGTGCACGGAGGCTCACGGAAGCCACTGTGGTAGAAGGTGAAGCCAGGTGAGGAGGCTCCAGCGCTGGCAGACAGAACCCAGACCAGGGCGAGCAACAGTCTCCTTGAGTGTCTGCCTCTCGCTAGACAACGATGAGCACTAGATTTGAAGACGGGGAAGATGCCTTCCAGTGCCAACACTTTACCAAACGGAAAATTACTCACAGCTTCCCACTTGTAAAGAACTGATAGGGCACAGAACACCAAGCATCAGAAAGCTCACTGAACCTCATTTTGTCCAGGTCTAAAATTTTTCAAATAAACAATATTAACAAGTCCTAAATAAATAACCTCTTATGAAAACAATAAATGAAATTAAGTACAGGATTTACAGAGTCAATTGGGAGAAGGCTCTGAAAAATTATAGCTCCACACAGGAGGAACCCCAAAATGCCACAGAAGTGCCAGAGGTTTCTGTCACAGGCAAAGCCCCAACACTCTGGTGACGAAGTGCACACAGTTACTGTCAGTAAGACTTTGAGTATATCATATCCCCTATTACAAATAAATACCAGCGATACACAGACTGACTTTTCATTTATTTATTTTTGTCCTTTCAAATACATTTAAAAAATAACATTTTAGACACAGAGTCACAAGTACACACAAAACAAAGTAGTGCTTGCTTGTTTCACAAAGGGTTTGCCCGTAATTCCTTTAGCTGCTTTGCATAAAATTCAAAGCTTTCCTGTTTAGGAGACAAAAAGGGAGGGAAGTAAGACAAAATTCTTAGCAAGAGGTGATGGCACGAAACTTAGAACTCATGAAGCACTGCAAACAGGCAGCAAAGGCCGCTGGGCCCAGGGCAGCCGTGTGCCCCCGGCTTCATTCTCCGTGATGCTCCCCGGAGCCTGTGGTTCCAGGGCCCGCGTGCAGAGTCCACGCTAGCACAGGGGTGTGTGTGCATGCGTGCGTGCACGTGCAGGCATTTATAACTGGCACGGACGGCTGACGTGTCTGAAATCAACATGGTGTAAGTGACGTGTAGTTCAATGACACGGTGAAAAGAAGTTCTGCATTTGATTCTTCTCGCTAAACAGAACAGTTAAATAAAACTTCCTAGGCAACCTACTGAACGAACGGCAGACAATATCTGCAAATCAGAGTTCTAGGAAGGGGTTAATATCTAAAATATAAAGGAACTCATACAAATCCATAGCCAAAAAAAAAAAAATCCTAAAAAATGGTCCGAAGATCCAAATAGACATTTTTCCAACCAAGACATACAGATGCCGACAGGTACAAGGAAAGGCGCACACTGTCACTCGTCATCAGGGAAATGCATACCAAAGCCAAATGAGAGGCCACCTCACACCTGTGAGAGTGGCTGTTGTAAAAGACAAGAAGTAACAAGCGTTGGCGAGGTCGTGAAGAAACAGGAAGCCTCATGCACTGTTTCTAGGAGTGCAAATAGGTATAACTGTTATGTGAAACAGTACATGCAGGTTCCTCAAAAAATTAATAGAACTACCATATGATCCAGCAATTCCATTTCTGGGTATTTATCCAAAGAAAACAAAAACACTAATTCAGAAGATATATGCAATTTCGTGTTCACTGCAGCATCATTTACAACAGCCAAGACAGGGAGACGACTTAAATGTCCATTAACGGGTGGATGGATAAAAAGATATGTACACGCACACACACACAAACAGGGGGATATTATTCTGTTATACAAAAGGAAATCTTGCCATTTGTGATAACACCAATGAACTTTGAGGGCATTATGCTAGTAACTTAGAAAAAGATATACTATATAATCGCACTTATATGTGGATCTAGAAAAAACACGAAACCGAGCTCACAGACATAGAGAATGGGTTGGTGGTTGCCTGAGGAGGACGGTGGGTGAAATGGGGCCAAAAGGAACAAATTTCCAGCTATAAAACCAGTAAGTCATGCGGATGTAATGCATAGCATGGTGCTTGTTAGGTAATAATACCAGATTGCACATCTGAAAGTAGCTTGCAGGGTGATTGTGAAAAGTTTTTATCACAAGACAAAAAATGTGTTTCTAGGTAAGGTAATGAATATTACTGGACTTATTATGGTATCATTTTATAATATATATAAGTATCAAATCATTACATTGTATACCTGAAATACAATGTCAATTATACTTCAATAAAAAATTTTCCTAGATGAAGAAATAAAAACAAACTTATTTAAAATGAATAAGCAATCAACAGTTCCATGATACACTTGGCTATTGAAATATAGGTTATTAAATCCTATTTCCAGTTGAAATGATGAGAAAACCACCCCAAGGACATTTGCTAAATTCCTACCTGTAGGTGAAGGTCGGAAACTGACCTTGCATTTTAAACCCCAGTCCCAGAGAGCTGTGCCCTCCTCCGCCCACAGCCAAGGACTGAGGGTTCGGTGCCTGAAACCCTCCCCTGAGGGTTCTTCACAGAGATCTAATCCTCGTGTAATTAAGTACTCTACTTATTATTTTTTTTTTTTACATATTATTGCAAAGCATACATAAGCCTGTAGAGGTAGTTCTTTTCCCCTTAATTAAGAAATACTCACAGGGGGTTCAGCAAAAGGGACAGACTCTCCAGCCTTCTTCAGCAGAACTGCGTAACGTTTTAGAAACAGATTATCCAATTTTATATTCTTTGCGGTCAAACTTTCATACAGTGCTTTAGCAGACGAGACATCACTGTCCAACACTGAGGAAAAAGACATCAGTCACAGATAAAGACAGCCTGTCTCTCTCTTCTCCCAAAACACTCAGCTCTTCAGGGACTCCTGGATCCCTGGATCCCTAGGCAAATGGGATCTTAACCACCTTTAGCAAAAAGCCACATTTAGAATCTACAAGTTCCTGCACTCCTTCCCCAAGCCTCTCCTTCAGCATTAATCAGTATGAAAGAAAGAAAATGATAAATACAACTATTTTAGAAGATCCGTGATTGTAAATGTGACCACAAACTGAAGTCCTCAACCACAGAGTAAGCACACACCCTTTAACTCTCTTCTACCTAAAATCACACTTTGAAATCAAGCTAATTGGGCAACTGTTGTGGTGAGGGGTACATAAATTATGCAGAAGTCTTTATCTACCTACATCAGTATCAAGATCATCAGCTAAACACCACCACCAAGACTTTCAATACATTCTTCTGTTATAAAATAAGCAGGCATGAGGGATGTTTCCCTTAAATGGAGTGCCCTAGGAGCTAGGTTTGGCTAGCTCTCCCCTTAGGCTGATCTGCAGAAGGTTTCTTTGTAAGTTTACTGCTGAGATTGTAAGGGCTCTGCTACTAACTTGTTGGTAATTGTTAACATCTAAGCCCCTAACAACCCCCTTACCCTACACTGATGTTCTATGACCAATCCCAACTCTAGCAGCACCAGGAAGAGCCTCCAGGGTGGATGGATGCCTCTGGGGTTGAACAGATCACCAGGGTTGGTCGGGTGAATTCAATGTCCTGTCTCAGTCCTTCCCCTGACACTATCAAGGGCTCTGTTCAGCCGCTACCATCTCCCAGGATGCTGTTCAGGAAAAACTCCATCTCGTCTTTCACCACTGATGATGGCCCTGCTCCTCTCCCTCCCAATTCCCAAGTGGATTCACACAAGTTAGTAGTTTTTTGTGTTTGACCCCATTCCATGTTACTATTTAATATCTGTTAATTTCCCAAATGGAACTTTGAGGTTTATGATCATAGCTCTGTTCTGAAATACGACGAGGACTGTCCGGAAGAAGTCCAGCCATTGTTACTATAATGAGAACAGTTTGAGCAACATCCCTGTAACCTGCAGCCAAGGAGAGGGGACTGGAATGTGCTTGTGTGAACAAGGACAACTTCACTGTACTAGTCAGTGGGGGCGGTAGAAACACTGAGTGAGCATGTGTACTGTGTGGCTGCTGCATTCAAAATGACTGAGTGTGCAGAGCAACAAATCTGCACTAAATTTTGTGTTAAGCTTGAACATTCTTCTGTGGAAACTATTCACATAACTCAGAAGGCTGCAGCGATGGGCAGCTGGTGATTGGCAGCTTCATCACAACAAGGCGCCTGCTCATGCAGCATGTTTCATGCAGAGGTTTTTTTTGGAGAAACATCAAATCACCCAGGTGACTCAGCCCCCCTACAGCCCAGATTTGGCACCCTGCAACTTTTGGCTTTTCCCCAAACTAAAATCACCTTTGAAAGGGAAGTGATTTCAGACCACTGATGAGATTCAGGAGAATATGACAGAGTAGCTGGTGGTGACTGGGAGAACTGTGTGAGGTCCTAAGATGCCTACTTTAAAGGGGACTGAGGCATCAGTCTCCTATGTACAATGTTTCTTGTGTATTGTATCTTCTTCAATAAATGTCTCTCTTTTTCATATCACAGGGCTGGATTCCTTCTGGACAGACCTCATGCATCACGTTCTCCAGACAAGGATGGAAAACTGGAGAACTGACTTACTAGTTAATTCTGATTGCAATCTGTTGTCCTGCCAACAATAAAATCAAAAAAGCAATTCTTTATTTACCCCTTGCATGAAGTGAGCAACTCAGTGGGTGGCCGATGGATAGGTGATCAAAACTTAGAAACGCTAACATTTACCTTGATTACTGAGGACATTTTAGACTGGTTCCCTTTCACATGTGATGGGTGGCAATCAGGGAACAAACTGCTTAAAGGACGGGAATTTCGACTGGGACTTAAGGTAAAATCTGGAGCCCACTTTTTAGTTAAGGGCCTGTTATTTCAAAGGCCTAGGTAGGCAGGGAGGGTAGGGTACTGAAGGAGCAAGAAGACCAGTCAAGTGGTAGGTCAAGTATGCACCTACTGCATGCAGTGTTTCAGGTGGCAGGGCTCTGGGGAGACTGCCCTGTTCCCGATATGCACACTCAAGTGGCCTTCCAACTCCTTCCAGGGGCTGGGATGGTGTTCCACACACCAGGGCCCCTCTGAAAGTGCTCAGTGACACTGGTTTCATGTCAAAGTTACATAGATAAATCATATTTTTCTTACAGTTTTTAAACATAAAACTGTAAAACATTTATATAATAATTATTTGATATTTAGGATTACTACCTTTGAGCTGAAGACTTAGTTAACTATACTGCAAATATTTAAACCACTTAAATGGTATAATCAGATTAAATTTATTACCGTAGCTTTTCATGACGGAAGTGTATGCTTCTTCCTTTTCAGTTAATTCAGGAATCAATTCTAACAAAGATTTCAACGTTCGTGCCTAAAGAATTAAAACACAGGTCAAAAGACTGTGAAATGCAACATTGATATATAGACATTGTATCACAAAATCTTGACAATAATTATAATAAAACTGCCTACTCAATTTAATGGACTATTTCCCCTTCTGTATACAGGCATAGCTCAAAGATACTATGGATTCAGCTCCAGACAACTGAGAGAAACAAAGTATTTTAATAAAGCAGGTTGTAATTTTTTTTTGCTGGTGGAGGGTCTTGCCTTCAATTTGTAAAAAAAAACAACAACAACAACATCTGTGAAGCATCAATTAAGCAAAATGCAATAAAATGAGGTATGCCTGTATCTCAGTATTTGATGTTAATTTAATAATTTACAGGCAGAACAAACAAGTATTTTTCAAGTTAATGCACTTCCATTTCCATTTCCATGAATATTTTCCTAAAATATTATAAAGACTGCTTCTTTTGTCAGCTGGTTAGCAGGAGGTTATGAGAGCCCAGAGAGTAGAAGACATAATTACTATCTTTTGGTACCAAAATTTTTAGGTAAAATGTGATGAATTCAGCCACACATTCTGAAGTTTTCCCTACTCGGTGTATAAACAGAGCATTTGCAGGTCTCATGGGAGTTTTTACTGACCGCTTTCAGTTTTTAGCTCCTGAGGGGAATATAAGTGCCACTCCCAAGTGCGTCACCACCGAGTATTCCCAAACACAGCCGCAATATTGCTGGAACAAGCAAAGGTGGATTCCATAGAGCTCCATGCCCTGTTTCCATCTCACCAAAAGAAGTGAAATCTGGCCTAATTTCTCTACTGTCAAACAGATAGGCACTGTAACTGGAATTTTCAAAATTTCAAAACCACTTTTTGGCATGTCTGTTTGGTCGGCCAACACCTGGACCTGCATCTTTCAAGGACTTGCTGCGATTCCAAGTCTCCGGGAGGAATGTTCCGAGCAGATACTCCTGCACGCTTCCCGTCCCATCTTACTAGCAAGGGAAGGAGGTGCTGTTCGTGGCACAGCCCCATATGGAAGCGACAAGAGCTTTTTAGATTTCTTATACTTTTCAATCACAAATTTTCAAAAACTAGTCTCTCTGAAAGGAATAAAAGGGCAACTAAATATTTTCAAAAAGTTTTTTGTTGAAAAAAATACATGAGCCAGAAATGAAATTTGCAGTTAGGTGAAAAAAAAATTTTTTTAAGTGTGTTTATGTGTGTGGGAAGTACACAGAAATTAAGGAAAACTTAAGACTTCCCAGACTGGAAACAACCTCAATGTTTCACAGTAAAACAAACATTAAAATTGGTGCTCAGTTTGAAACTTCATAATGTGCCCAAATAAACTACGAATGGGGTTCCTGGTGCTTAACCAATAAATAAAACTAGATCTAAATAACTATTTATTTTTTCTAACATCAAAAATAGAATGTGGTTCTGTTTTACATGGCACACACGCACCTTTTAGTGTACGTAAGTGCACAAACTGAGAACATTAATTCTGGCACACACCAGTTTTGAGGCCAAATGGTTAACCTCCCTGATGGTTTACACCTCAGAAATGGTCAAAAACAGCCGCCTAATGCGAGGAGTGCTTCCACACTGCTACCTGTACCAAGTGACCCAAGCAAAAGGATCTCCACCTTCCACTCTCAGGGCTCTTTCTTGGGGCTCTTAATGCACAGCTACGTGCACGGAGAGTGCACTGCATGACCCTGTTCTGCGCCTCCAGTACAACCAGGGAGCCAGAGCCAACTTTCTGTCAGGTATGGAAAGGTGAAGTCGCGTACAGACAAGGCAAGTCTTCGACCTCCACAGTGGTTTCGGATAGGCCCTGGACCAGTAAGCTTTCACGTGACACTCCCATCTTTGGCTTACAGCATCAGTGATTTGTCAGCAAGTTGAGCACAGTACCTTTCCCGGTTTCCGAGAATTCCTCACACAGAACACCAAGAAAATTGGGGTTTGTTCAGCAATTGCTCCGCATCTCTAAAAATTAAATCATCATCCAGTAAGTGAAGGTTTCTGATAAACAAGCAGACCAAGGGGAGTATTTCCAATTAAGAAAGTTCACAATGATACAGTAATGTATTATTACTAATAGGAGGGCCTAAGAGTTGACCAATTTTTTTTTAAGGCAAGAAAAAAAGAAAACAAGTGCAGGCTATGTCAAGCTTTTGTGAATATTGTCCTTGGCATTTCAAGTATAAAGTTTGTTTAAAAAGACAGGGGAAAAATTAAACTAGTACTTCAACAACCAAAGAATAAGGTTTAGGACTGCGAAGAAAGAGGAAAAAAAGAAACACTATTCCTCTCCAATTATACTGCCAAGCATTCACAAGTGAGCTAGGGATCATAAGGTTAATTATACATTTAATAAGGTGTCAGGGAGATAACTGCTCGTTTCTTTATAAAAATTAAAATGTACAAAGCACGTTCTCTTTAAAGTATAATTACCTACACTTATGCATACAAAAGGACTGATTTCAATCTCCCTATTTTATAAAAGGCTTTCATTGCAACAGACAGCCGGTGCTCGGGAAAGAGACAAAAGTTAAACTCAAAAAAAAAAAAAAAAAAAGTTTATATGATAGACCAGATAAATCAAGTGTCTATTCAATCTTAGATGCTATAGTGAAATCAAATATGGGAAGACAGTATTTCAGTTTACATTCTTTGTGGATGTCATCCCTTAAGTTTCTAAAAAACACAATCCTCTTTCAAAGCTTTAAAACACTGTCAATACTAAAGCGAATACTATAAAAAGAACTTTTGGGGACACAGAACGTTTACATTATAAATGATGTTTTCGACATCTGTGACTAAAGCATTCTTCAGCACAGTGAGAATAACCTTTTACTGACAGGCAGGTAGAGGGTGGGTAAAGGTTTATCACTTGAAACCTCAGTCTACTGAAGGCTCGAAAATGCAAAGACTGCTGCTGTTGTGTCCACACTCAGCTGCCATCAAGAGCCCCCGGACAGGCCGCTGTGGCTCAGCGCAGGAGGGCAGCTGGGGGGGGAGGGGGGGGCAACACCCCTGCCATCTCCCATCCCAGGCTGCTGTCAGCTGGGGTCCCTGGGAGGAGCCTTGAAAGATTCCAGCTCAGAACAAGCTGGGAGAGGAAATACCAAGTGCCAACTTGCTAAAGAACCATCAAAATAATGTGTTAAAATGGAATGAATACTATCACATGTATAATTAGATACACTTATACCCCTAGTAGATACACTTAGATATGTACACACAAAGATGAAGCATTAGAGTTTATTTCAAGACAGAACTTGAAACACCAAAGGCAAGATAAAAAAAAATTGCTGAAATCCCTAGCTATCATAAACTGTCTTTCTTGTTATGTATTTTTTAAAGGTAAAAAAACCCCAACAAAACAATAAAATTTCCAATTATTTAAACATTTTCTGTTCAGAAATAAAAGTACAAAAGCCTCAGAGGCAGTGCCAATACTTTTAAATACTTTATACTTTAAAGAAAACTGTTAACAGATATTTCTCAGGCATGCCTTAAAAAATGGCTTGGATTCCACTGTCAAACTGGATGAACTTTAAGGATCAAAACTAGAGCTCAGGCAAATGGGTACAGTTTAATCATTCCTATCTACTACATACGATGTGTTGCAGCTCATAAAAATGTAAGTGAATATAACACTATTTACTATCAGAAATTGGTCCCAGACCTCAATTTGACACAGGGAGTCTACACAAACACAGCCGCTGGCAGGCTCACGGGGACTGTTTGACTGCCACCTGCTGGGAAGGGGCTCCCCGGTGGCGCCTGTTTGTGTACACTGCCAGTGGCAGCTCTGATCACCCACCGGTTCGGCACTTGGAGCAGCTTTATGTTTAATGCTGTTAGAATAGCATGAATGCTGTTGTCTCCCTCCCTGAAGATTGCTAATTTAACTGAGAGTGCGGGCCACAGAGACCTGCATTTGTCATTTAATGTGTCTGTGACACACAAGTGAATAGAAAGCAAATTCAACTCTTAATAAACCTTGAATAAGGCACTGAGAATGTTTGAGTATGCAAGTGAGAAGCTGTACTTGAAAAGCAAACATTTCCTACTTTTTGTTTGCAAACTGTGTTGCCATGGTGATGCACAGTATTTACAGCATTAGAGAAATTAAAGTAGGAAATCAAAGGAATTGTTTTTGTGTTACCTATCTGCACAGAAACATTTGTTTTTAAATCATTTTGGCGAAACAAGTCTTCTCTCTCTCCCCTCCCCTCAAACCTAAGGGCATTTCTAGTCTGATCTGGCATGTTTAAAACCAGCAACCCACAACTGACAATCCAGTCCTTATCAGGCAACCTCGATTCGCAATGAACTTACATGTGCCAGCAGCACCACGCTTCGTTTCTAATATCCCACACCACACATTGGCTAAATAAGTAATTTCTCTACCTGCTGCTCACAAGCCACCGGCCCCACTGCTCTGAGTGTGGTGGGTCATTACCTGTAGGAGAGCTCTGGCATCATCCCCCTTGCCTGAATCCACAAGCTGAAGGAAAAGGTCGGTGACTGGTTTGTATACTGCAAACTGATTGGCCAACCTCTCTGCCATGATGCTTACTGGAAAAAAAAAAAGGTAAGAAAAATCTTTCCTTTAAACCATCTCCCCCCAAAATTTGGTCCGGTTTTACTAGAGAGAAAATGTGCTTCTGTTTATTTTAGCAAGCACAGCTAACTTACACTTCTCAAGAGCTGGTTCCAACTGCTCCTCTATCACTTTTCTGAATAAGTACGCCAAGCCAAAGTACTGGGCTTCCACAGCTTGACTCCCCGAAGTAAGCATATTTTCAATGTTTTCTATTGCAACATCTATGTTATTGCTGTAAAATAAATTATAAAGAAATATCTGCTCTTGTAGTAATAGTGCAGGCAGCTTTCATACGAGAACTTACTTTGGGATTCACACATGCAAATGCTTTAGGAAAAAAGGGAGCTACGTCCACAATTAACCAGATTAAAAAACACCGTGCCAGCTGAACCGGGTTTCAATTAGGTAACAACAGTTTATGCTACAATAAGTGAGGCAGCTGCTTATTTGAAAACACTACAGATAAGATTGAACACCTATATACAGAAGCATTAATGACGGTAACTTAAAAAATTGTATCTTAAGTATTTAATTTGATTTTTCATCTCTTTAGATGTAAGATAAAAACTTGTGTGAGTGCTACAACTTTGGCTTTATAATCTACAATGCTCACTACTGCATGAGGTAAAGAGAATATGTACCAACCAACTCATGATTCTTAAAGATGCTGAGGATGTCTTTAAAAGGTGCATTTTCAAGTTTCTCAACCCACAAACAAAACCATTTTTCTCTGTCAGGTACTATAGAAAGCATCTGAAAAATGTTCAATTAATACTAAACTCAGAAAGAAGTATCTCCACACTTTGCATTAAAAAGCCAATCACATAGCCTTATTTAAGAGGTTAAAATAAAAATTATCGTTATGACTTTCTGGTTAAGGTACTCTGTAGTTGCTACTGTACAGGTTATGGCATTCCAAATCCAAACAACCAGTTTTATGTTGAAATTATTACCTAAAACATAAGAATTCTCTAACTACATATGAAGACTCCATTACAATAAATTCTTCTCGTGGGTTTTAGTTGGAAAAATTATTTACTAGTGAATACAAACATATCCCCCACATCTTACAAAACTGTGTTTATATGGTAACATTTAAAAATCCACCCAGCTCTTACATGGATAATTTCCTTGCTCTTTCAACTCAACATAATCACATTTTCTCATTAAAGGGAAAGTGTGAAGTTCTATTTGGGGAAATAGTTTTAAAAGGAAAAACAAAACACTACTTCTTCTCTGTCCAAAGAAATACAGACAGACAAAAAACGCAAACGTTACATTTTTGTATCACAACACACTAAATGCATGTAAGACTAACTACTAAAGAAGATTTTCTTCTGGAGGCCTGAAGAGGGTCAATTCCATGATTATCCCCATGAGTCTTTGACTTGAGCAAAGTTAATAAAAATCAAGTTCTTATTTCTGCCCACAGTGGTGATGCTCGACAAGGAATCGAGAGACGGTGGTAGGAGAATCCCCTCCGAGTATCTCCCTTTTGGAGGGTGTGCAATGACAGGGGCAGAGGGCAGGAGGGTGGGGGACCAGAACCTCCTATTTCTGACAAGCTTGCCGGGCTCTGTCACCACGCTCCGGCAGAGTGTCACCCTCAGTGTTGCTGGCAGCCAATGAACTCGCTTTTCACTTCTGTAACAAAGTGTTTCCACGACGAGAGACTGTATGAATGAGAACACTTACCAACTTTGGAACACATTTTACGAATTTGAAAAATTTGATAAATGTTCTTTATTCTAAGATTTAATTTAAAGCTAACACACATTTTGTAGCATGTAAAAATAAATTATTCCCTAATGGCATGGTTTCTAATAGCTTTAGAAAGTTTTAACAGCTGGTATTAGAGATAATGCTCTTTCCAGTATCCAATGGAGAAAAAGAAAGCTTAAAAATACTCACTTCTTTATTTGTGCCAAAGCAATGTTATTGATGAAAACCATATTTGAAAGCCCAATCGAATCTTCAAGTCCATTTACCATCTTCTGAATTGCGTGTATGCCTTCTAAATCCCCCTTCAAAGCACAGCCCTGAATCAGGCGGGTGACCGCCATCCTCGAAGGGGTCTGCCTCAGATCGAAGGCTGTTTTCAGTGTCGTGAGCGCCTCTACGACAGAAGTGCAGGCAACGGGGTCAGTCTTTCATGAACCACACTGACTTTAATGCACTTTCAAAACTAGCTTTTAAATATGAGCACCAAGTGGCCATAAACAAAAGGCTATGAGTAATTTATTCTAGATTACAGAAAATATTAATATTTTATAAAAATAATAATTTATTTGACTGCCTATATCAGAGACCAGAGAAATGTCCTCTAAGTCACAGACAAAATAACAAATGCTATTGAAAGAACCTGGGTACCATTCTGGGGTAACATTTAGTGACTAATTTCAAGGAAAATGACAAATTCAGAGGTATATAAATATGAATTTTAAAAATTAAAAGTATCCAAAATTATGGAATTTCTACCCAAACCTGTACTTTCCCGGATTTTATTACAAAGACTGCATGATTATCAGAATGATACCCCAAAGACTCCTTCCTGAAAGCAGTGTCTTTCTCTCGTCCACACAGGACGGACAGCACAGGAGCAGCCCAACCGGAACACTCAGCTTTCACACGCGCTCAGGCCGCACGATGAAATAACACCTAGCAGGTATTTTCTCGCACTCATTTTTCAGAGGAAATACAGCCCATCAGATTCCCATGGACAGAGCCACAGGAGGTTTTTTGTTTGTTTGTTTTTTAAGTATCATACTTACCAGTACCTGATCATGGATAAATTTGGAAACTCCTTCTGATTTACAGACTCATGTGCAAGTGTGCCGAAAGCATTATGTGAAGTACAGTGGTGGGGAAATGTAACACTCAGCATGAAAGGAAAACTTCATGGCTTTATAGCGATTAAAGCCACGCAACCTAGACAAAAGTAAGACTCTCAAGGCAGCTTTCTGAATAAGGAGAGCCTATCTTCTACAGAAACATAGGGAAAAGGTAATAATTAAACAGTCTGCTAAAAGTGATAGAGTAAAAGACATAATGAATTCAGTGTTTACTACTGAATAAACAAAGTGTAATGGCTCCAAATCTATAAACTAGCCAGTGATTCTCAAATGGGGAAAAGAGGAAATAGGTAGTTTAAAAGGCACATTCAATAAAATTTTATAAATATGTACACATAGGAAACAAAAAATAATATAATTTATAGAAATAAATTTGATAAAATCTTAACTGGTGGTCATACATAGATAATCAACTTCAGAATAGTCCTTTAACCAGGAATGTTGTCAGCTAGGAAGGATTTTTCCACCAGTCAATCAAAATAATAACAAAAATAAAAGACAATGATGGTGATGGTAGTAACTAGCATTTATTGAGCTTTAACTACATTTGTTGAACATTTACTAAATGCCAGACACATTAATAGCCAAGTATGACAACTACCGCAAGTGTTAATTTACAGGTGAGAAAGAGAGGCACAGAGTTTAAATAATTTGGACAAGATCATATGGCTACACATGAACCCAAGAATCTAACCTCCCGCAGCCTGCGTCCACGGGCGCACGTGTGCAGGACTGCAGAGGACCAAGAGCAGATCACACGATGCCTGTCCAAACGGAGCCTGGAGCCTTAGAGCCTGAGCCAGAATCCCAGGACCTGCCTGCACTACAGTCTATGACCTAAGTGACGACAAAGACGGGCGCCTCCCCACACCCCTCCGGTGGATCCGTTTCTTACTCTCACCGGATCTAAAAGTCCCATTGATTATACTGCAAAGGTGACACGTATGGACTATTATATTCTAGAACAGCATTAATTTATAAAATTAGATTTAAAATTAAACTGGCTTTATTTTTTTCCCCCTGCTTTAGATGGGACTGAGAAAAAGGAACCTGAAAAAGGGAAGGGGATTTTTAAAAAATCAGACACTCAGCCATGGAGCAAAATAAAGACATGGGGACAGTGCCAACACCATCCCGTCCTCACCAGTGGTCATTTTAATGACAGGTAAGTCTGTGGTGAAGCACAGGAGGCGGTGAGTGGGGGTGGAGGTGGCAGTGGGGGACATGGGCTCAGGGATCCTGCTCTCAGCCAACCTCCAATTGAACTGAATAGCTGCAAAGATGTGAAAATTGCATCACGAAGTTTCTTGTAGTTTTCCCAGGGTACCTAACGTGTAAGTAAAGGGTAGGAGTCAAGTTAAACAAATTCAGTTCAGATTCAGCCCAAAAATTAACCCCTTGAAATTAAAAAAGTGCACCTTTACATCTAAGTGTGTGTGTGTATGGGGGGGGGGCATATACATATACATACACACACCAAAATATCAATTTGACAGAAAGACTTTTTTGAAAAGAAAATGAAGGCATTAAAAATTTTAATAACAAGCCCTACATCACTCAACTATGACTTAAGGCTGACCAAAAAGACTCTCTACACAGGCTGGCCCCATGTGGAATAATGAGGCAAAAATTCTGCAAAAGGGAGAAATCATCATTTCCACGGTCTGTACTACTAAACGAGGAAGAAATCTAAACACAAGCACATTCTGGTATTACAGGCAACACTAAAGCTGAACAACTAGATAGCAACTTTCTCTGAGGGATGTGAAATTACTTAATAGACATACAAGTGAGGGATAACACCGTTATTATAGATTGAGGAATAATCAGGTAACATACTGAACAGTTAAAGAGCCTTTTCAACTTTCTCTCAAGATCTCCTAAGTGGGTTTTGTTCTATTGGAGAAACTGTGGTGTTACTGTACCGACTAAAATTCAAATGTAAACCTAAACATGAAAAGATGCTTACTTAAATTTAAGATCCATCATTTTCCCCCTTGGGAGCTCATTCTTAAGTCCTTCAGATCCAAACCCACTCCTCTGCAAACCCACAAAGAGCTTCTACCAAACAACCAGCCCCCTCCCAATCTTCCCCAAAGTCATCTTCTGGTATAATCTTAAAATTAATTTAAAAACTCCAAATTCCAAACTCCAAACAAACACCATATTTTATTGCTGTTGGTATTATGAACTATTAAAAAAGTATTAGATTAAGTTTTAAAAATCAATATTATAATCATTTGGTGCACAATCCCATACATTTAACACTCAATTTAACTCATTTGCTATCTCACACACAACCAACACAATACGCAAGAAACAACTGCTGGGAATTGTTTCAGATGCTCTAAAGTATGTTAATTTCCAAAGCAAAATGACTTGTGCTGTGAATTTTAACGCACTTGAAAGCCTGTACTTTCTCTCGTCCTGGAACACAAATTTTGCATGTCTGAAGAGCTGTGATTCATCTTAAGAAAACCCATCTTGTGTTAAATGGAATGGAAACTGGACTAAGTGGTCAAATGACAAGTACATTCATATTCAAGCTGTATTATAAATGCATGTACAGTAATTTACGTCTCTCAGCTACCACAAAAGGCTCTTGATAAGCAGGTAATTTGCTAAATGGACTCCTTTATCCAAGTATTCGAAGGGCGTTACAAGAAAAATCTGCAGAGGCATTAATGTGACGTAAAGGTCAAGCATTGTGACATACCTTTCAAATAATCCCGCCTAACTTGCGTTATGATGAGGAGGCTGTTGGCAGCATCGTTCAGTGTGAAGCCCTTGATGTGGGTCTCAGCGCTAAAAGAAGCAGACATTTAGAAAGGAATTACTGACATGCTTCTGATACGATAATAAATGGTTGAGCACCAAGGTGAAATTATAAAAACTACTGTTCGTATGTTAAAAATATTGCTGCAAAATATCGACCTGGAGACAGCTTTTGTGTTATCCTGTCAATGGTTATAGAAGGATAATTTTTTTTTGCATTCTGACAGATGACAAAGTTGGAAATGAGCAACAAAAGAAACAAAGTACAAGATTTTTTTTAAACAATCGGTTCAGATTCTTGAATGCTGACATATGAGATGACTAAAATAACTGCATGCCCTGCATTGTTCTGCTGTATCCTAAGCTGGATCCTTTTTCCTCTTTTTTCTACATTCACCATAATTATAAAATGTAAAACTGTTCTTTCGGCAACAAAAATGAACACTTATTTTCAGCACTGTATACTTTAAGTATAAACTAAAGCATATTACTAACTAACCCCGTATCATTTGGTTAATTTTCAAATTTCTCTATCTAGATACATGTAGTTTTTAAAGGCAAACATACTGCACAGCTAAAACCATTGCTACCTTAAAATTTAAAATTTCACACAGCAATCCTGTCCTGGCCTTTAATTTAAAATGAAACCCTCACCCCCCAACTTTTTAAAACTCAAGAACAAAATACTGCTCTACTCATGGCTAAAACCTACATTATTAAAAAAAAAAAAAACCCAAAAAACTAGTCAGAGATCATTTCCGTGTGCTACACCGTCTGCACATATGCTGTGATGAAGTGTCAGGGTCTGTGATGCCCCAGGAAAAATCAGGAAACCTCCACAGGTCAGAGGGAGCAAACACAACCGCTGCCATTGGCCTCATGAAGCTCAGTGACAATCTGGCTGCCAACAACCTCACTGCCGACATGAACACCCACGCTGGGCAGATTTCGAGAACAGCAGGGTCACTGCTAAATTATTCTCATCAATCCTGAGAAAACCCTCCAAAGACACTGTGGCGTGCCCGTCCTCTGCCACTTCCAGCCTGAGGCTCACCCTGCAGTCCCGGGCACAGGATGTTCCTACCCCCTGGCCGGCCCTCTAATCCCACAGAGCGCCCACTGCTCAGTCTGACTTCTTCCCTCTGTGCCATCTGTCAGAGCTCTCGGGTCAACAGCCCCTGCATGAGACCATAAACTGCCTGAAACACAGGATTTATGTTCTCAATCTTTAGCGTGATTAAGTAAACAGGAGATTCTATTAAAATTAAACTCACTTCTTACAGCGATATTACATATATTATACCATATCTACTCAAAAATATTACATAAAATGTATTAAAAGCACAAGGTAACAACACTTTTCTTTTAACTAACATAAATGTGAATTACGAACCTTTCAAAGACCTCAATACATAGAACATCATCTTTCCCACCTTAAGAAGCTGCCTACTCAATACAAATATAAAAGTGAAAAATAGGAAGACAAAAACTTTATTACATACAGAACATTTAAATTTTACATATTCAGAACTGATCAATCACCTCCAAACTACATTCCAAACTGGCAAAAGGAAAAAAAAAAAAACACTATAAAAAGTTACTGGTAGAGATCTTTGCACAGGACTTGTCCACACAATACAATACAGTGAGTTTTCTTCTGACCCATAATTCTGATCTTTCCTGTCGGAAAAAATCTAGTCCAGGCTGTCAAATCAAACTTCCTGTAGCAATGGGATTATTCTTTAACCAAGCTGTCTAATAGGGCAGCCAGTAGCCACTTGTGGCTGGCTATATGTGATGGAAGAATGGAAATAATTTTATTTTATTTAATTAATTTAAATTTAAACAAGCACATACACAATGGTTACTGGATTGAACAACACAGAATTCTAGACATTTTCTTTCCATTTTCAGAACTGTTAAAATAATGGAAATAACTACAAAGAATAAAGGGTATCAATTTTTTAACTTACGATCAAGTGCAAAAATTAATCTGTCTTAACCAAAGAAGATAGTATTACAGGAAAAGTTTCACCTTAAAGATTTCAGAGCAATGACTGGTCTGTGGATACAAGTTACTTACATAACAAGTACACAGAGCATTTGTTAGTGATTATAATTTATCTTACTTTGGATAAGAAAAACTGGCCAATCCAGTGAAAACCATCAGTGCCTGATTTAGCATTATTTCTAGATAGAATGAAGTAAGAAGCTGGCAGGGACGAAAGAAAACAAAGTACTATTTTCAAAAGATAAGGTAACGTTATTCCTGTATGATTCTCAAATTTCCTAAGACTACAGTTTAATGTTATCAGCAATTTTAAACAGTAATTTATATCCCTTTCTCTTCTTTGAATAAGCAGTTCCACTCCCTTGAAATAATTCACTATACCTAAAGTTTTATTTTGCAACATGAAGAAATGTTGTAATTCTAACTAAAAGTTAGAAAGTTAGAAAAAAGTTGGTTTCTTTAAAAAATTTTTAAAGGCAGCTCTTACTGTTACTTTTGAGGCTCTATTACAAGGTGGGAAGGTTAAATGACCTTGTTAGTAAAGCTGAAGAAATCTTTTAAGAGGTCAAGTGAATCTGCAACACATCAGTGACAGCAAAGGCATTATAAAAACAAAGATTGCACTTTTTAGTTCATAGCAAAAACCATTGCTCTTAAGATTGAACGAGTGGCATCATGTAGGTAACATGAACAACAGACTGCTACTTACTGAGTAACAGCACCGGAATATTACCAAAAAGTGCTGCCCCTTGCTACAGTGGCTTATTCGGTTACACCATGTTATAATAAAGCAACACATGCTCCTTTCTGACCATGGATACAGAGCTAGAAGGGGAAGAGCTAACCTGGTCTCATGTTGGCAATAAGCCAGGAAATGAATTCAGAAAAATTACATGACATTCCTTCAGTAGCACAGTTAATTAGTTAGAAAACTGGAAGTACAACTTCCACTTCTGAATTCTCAATCTAGAGTTATTTTCAAAAGTACTCGATGCAGATCTGATCCATACACAATTCTTCACAGCCAAATATAACATTTTATGGTTTGAGGGAAAGGATGTGCGCCCAACCCCCAGATCAGATGCCTCTGGGCACTTGATGGCTTTGCATCTAGGATTCTCTTGGGCCCACACAGCTACTTGGAGAAGGCAGCTGCATAATCCTCGAAGAATAAGATAGCTAAGATAACAGTGACCTCAAGAGTACTGTAAGGCCTCCCAAAGATCTAGAGAGGGAGGGAGGGAAGAAGATACATCTTACAGGTTGTGGACATAAGGGGAAATAGAAGGGCTGTGCTTATAACCATCTTCTAGGTGGGCAGCTTACACACTTGTTCGATCAAGATTCATAGCCAAACACAGTAAGAAATGGTGTTTTTATACTACATACCAGTGCACAGGTATGTAAATGCACATGTAGCTGAAATAAAACTTTCACAAAATACTTCTAGTACCTAAAGTGCTTTGATATTTTCTCTTCTATTTAACTAAGAAACTGTCCCATTAGATTGGCTCCATGACCCAGTAACTGGTTACACCTGCAGTTTGAAAAACCACTCAAGGTCAGCCTTCTTCAACGAAAGGTATGCGCATCGTGTGAATGTCCTAGCGGGGGAGGGGAGGCAAGAAAATGTTTAGACCTCTGTTTAAATCTTATCCTCCAAAACATTTAAAATTTTTTAGTATGTTTTATAATATACTTACATGTGAGACACTAGTACAATTCACTATTAATGGCATGTGATCAAAATGTTTGACATGATTCTTGAATCACCTGGGTGTTTTAGTAAAATGCAGATTCCTGATCAGCTGAATCAGAACCTTTGGCTGTAGGGAATCTTTTTATGCTACCAGAATGTGAGGCTCACCGTTCTAGAACAAGCCCAGTTAAAATAATAGAATTATGATCTGTGCTTTTGGGAAGTATTATAGAGGTCTTTGAAACCAATCTCAGAATTAAACATTTCTTTATTTACTTATTTTTCAAGAGGGGAAGGTAGGGAGAAAGATGGAGAGAAACATCAATGTGTGGTTGCCTCTCAAGTACCCCCCAACTGGAGACCTGGCCTGCAACCCAGGCATGTGCTCTGACTGGGAATTGAACTGGCGACCCTGTGGTTCACAGACCAGCACTCAATCCACTGAACCGCACCAGCCAGGGCAAAAGGTTTTTTGTTTGTTTTTGTTTCAAGCTTTCCTTCTTTGCTTCTGTCCCCTCACTTATTCATACCAAATTCTCAACACAAAATGCCCTTCTCTTTTTCCTGCCTCCCCTTCCTTCCAAATCACTGTTGCTTCAGAACACCTTTGGTTATAACTGGTAGTGTTGGGAGAGTTTAGGTAGTAATTTCCTGAGAAAAGTAATTTTAGGAAAAAAACACCCCCTTCATGACGTCAGTGATTGCAGAACACAGGATGCTGCTCACAGTCACATTCTAAGTCACTAGCTGAGGATGCGGTGAGTATTCTTGATCGTGGAAGTCCCAGTGTGGCTGTCTAGTATCGACATACAAATGATGATTCAGGACCACAGTTATACATGGTGTGTGTGAGTACATGTATACCCATAGAGAATACTTGCATACATCCATATACATGGTACACATGTGTTTATGTGAATATGTATTTCCACAGACAAGTACAGTCATACACAACACAGTTTTCAAAATGTACAGAAAAACAGCAGTAACTATGGCCACCTGGTGCTTAACTTTAACACAACACTAGTATTTACACCAGTTTTCCAGCAAACTGCAAGAATGGCAAGCATCCATTATCTACTCAAGATTCCAATATTTCAAAAAGGCTGAGACAAAAAATTTGAAGGCTCAAATATGTGTGTGAGAAAGTGAAGCAACTGTAGCAAAATGTTAACATCTGGTGAATTAAAGGGTTTATGGGTGTTAATTGTAGGAATCTTGAAACTTTTCTATATATTTTAGATTTTTCACAATAAAATTTGGGGGAAAAATTTAAAGGCCAAAAATTAGCCAAGAGAGATTATTTCAGAACTCCCAACATACTAAGAAGAGTGACCTTTGCCACTGAAAATAAAGCTATGGACTCATCAACAGGACGGGCCTACGGTCTAGAACAGACTTGATCTACTCCTTTCTAGGGCTCTGATTACTCGACTTTTCAAGATAACTCCTTGGGGAGTCAGACAACAGAGTCAGTTAATCAGTGGTCCCCAACCTTTTTGGCAGCAGGGGCTGCTTTTGGGGAAGACAGGAGGTAGGGGTGGGGGCGGTGTGCAGGAGTCAGAGCTCAGGCGAGTTTTGCTTGCAGCCCAAAGGCTGGGGACCCCTGAGTTAACAGACACATCAGGTATGAAAACTTTACTCTTGTTCTGATTAATCAAGTATTTTACTCTAGGGAACCAGGTGGAGAGACAAAACCACTACCACCACCAATACCAACACCACCAAACAAACTTAATACAACAGAACGGGGGAGAGGTATTTAAAATGTGTTGACTACCTATATTTTCTCTACTTCCCTCTATCTCTTTCATTATTTAGAAGAAATCTTTAATGTAAATATTATCATTCACTTATCATATACAAGAAAAACTGAGGCTCAGATGTGAGAGGCAATTTTCTCAGGGTCACAGAGCTTTCAAGTAAGAAAAAAAGCCTTGCCTAAGTTCAAAGCCCTTGGCATCTTCCTGATGTCACACTGCTCCCACCACAAGAAGTACACGGATCTAGCCACTGAACAAGAAACATAATACGATAAAAATTATTTTTTTATATATGGGTATCTTAAATAAGTTACGAGGTTACAAAAGGTAAATAAAAGATATTGTACCATGTAGGGTCAGTAAAAGCTACATATTTTATAGGTTAAAAAGATCCATAAAATTACAAATGTAATTTTTGTGGGTAGTTGAGGATAATTAAGCAACGACTACTACAACACATCATTAGAAAAGCCCTTAATAACAGGTGCTATCTGTGTGAGGGTTTGATGAACAGACTCATACTCACCAATCTTTCACTTTCATTGCCTCTGTGAAGCTGTCCTTCGTCAACAGTAATTGTATGAGTTTGTTGTAAGTTTCACTGTCGAACACAACATCTTGCTTTTGTGCTTTCAGGAAAATATTATATGCATCTACAAAGAAAATAAAACAGAAAATGAGATGACATTAACTCTGAAATAGTGAAGAGGAGGGAAAAAACCCTAAAACAAAGCCCTGCACCCACATACTTGTTTCTTCTAAAACCCGCCCACCAGACCCCTCTACAGAGGCACACACTGCCCAGCAGGCAGATGCTGCGGCTCTTCTGAGCTCTAAAATGTAAAGTGAGTTTTGGAAACTACTTAATCCTAATGGATGGTACCCGAAAGGGCCTCCTTTTAAAGATTTTTTTTTTCAAATTCACTTTCTAAAGTCAATAAATTATTTTCGTGCCAATAAAAACGAGAAACAGCTCTTCTGAATTTGTTTGTCAAAAGATACCAGTTTCGAAATAAACGGCAAAATGTGTCTTAAAGTCCAAATAAACCAGAGGTATAATTTAGATTGAGGGGAGCAAAAGACTCGTTTTAAAGCTATCAGAAATCTATAAGTGGGTGGTTACAATGGTTACCTTTCCCACACAATAGCATTAAAGTGAATATAGCCTATAATTCTAAAATTAGGAGATCAAATTATTTGGCTACGACAGGACTTATACAAAAACATACAATTTTCAAATATACAGATACTTAACAAGTAAACTAAGCAACATTTGTTTGACTGATTAACAGTTTTATTTCACTTGTTCACAATAACTGTCAGTGAATGAAAGGATGTTACCAAAAGAGAAGTAACTACACTTTTCAGTCGCTTACTTTTCTGAAATAAAACTGCCTGGCTATAAACATCCGACTGAAACTGCAACCCACTCTCGGGCATGCACGAACAAATCACAGTAAAGACGGGGCATAACTGAACCATCACGTGCAACCTTCTGTGGATACCAGGCTCGATGAGAGGAAAGACAGACCACACAGCTAGGAATGAACACGGTACTAACGCTCAGAAGAACATTATGAGTTATTTTAGAGGTTTCTGAACAAGCAGAAACCATGCTTGTATTTATAATTAGAAGAGTTTGCATTAGCGTCTCAAAATGAAGTGACACATCAAAAAATTACCCTTTCAAGGTACATTCACAGAAAACAAGAAAGAAAAGGTATGACATGAATATTTGTACTTTAACTAAGGAGAACAGACAGAATCTGTCATTCAGTACACAATGCACATATTTTCCTTTTAAGGGAGCTAAGAAGTTAAAATGTAATACACTCATTGTCTACTTACTAATAAACATATATAATAGTTCACTAGTTTACTGAATAAGTTAAGTACAATTTGAATATTTAAAATCAATAAAATAATTTAAAAATCTTACTAGTTGTTTCCTAAAAACTGTCTTCACACAAATTGATATGGCTGTGTTTGTTATTTTCTAGTAGCTTTTTTTTTTTTAAAACTATCATTGTAATGTACCAAAGTCATTCACCACAGGTTTGTTTCTGGTGTGAAAGTCACATTTGTCCCTTTAAGTACACTTAACTATCAGAAATTGACCAAGGGCTAATGCAAGCATTCACTTCTCAAGGTATTCATATTTTGCTAAGAATTCAAATCCTAGATATATACAAAAGGTACTAAAAACTCTGAAAACATTAACAGGATGAAACTAATTAGGTAAGTGTAAACTGTACATTAAAACTAGAATAGGAATGTAGCTCTACATTTATAATAAATACCACATTATATTTACTTAGTTAATTGGTTAACTTTTTTACTTAAATAAAACAGCAATTTTTTTTAAAAAAAGGCAATACATGAAGGAGTTTCAGAATCTTTGACCAGAAACTACATATTAACCTTATGTTCATCTCAGTCAAATCAAAACTCCATTAGAATATTTAAAAAGTATTGATAATAACAATCAATTGTATATTTAGGTTTAACAGTTGCATGGTGACTCAAGAATGTATAGGCTGAATATGCAGCAATGAAAATTGATTAAGAAAGAGTAAAGCTTCTCTGTATGACTGACAAAGCATAGGAGTCTAGAGCTTATTCTTATTTCATGTATTTTCCACTGGTGTCACAAAACTTCTAGTTAAGAAATTAAGAGCCTTGATAAATTTCTAATTTGATTTCTTTCTACTGATCAGAGCTCAAAACTGTCAATACGAAGGTGAAAACAACAACAACCACAACAAAAAACCCAACAACTGCTGCATAGTAGTTCAACTATGATAAAGCATACTTGAAAATCCACATAAAAACTGAGGGGCTTAAAAGATAATGGTACCATTCTATGGAGAAAAATTAACAAAAACGTGGGAAACAGTAATAGTATCTGATTTTGGGAAAGTATGACAAAGTCTAAGTGAAAACAGCTAGAATGCAATCAGCAAGCTTAGGCACCAGAGGGTTCAAGATGAGTACTTTTAAAGCACTCGTAATAGAAGTAGGCATGCCTACAGGAACGTTTTCCACTACAGAAAGGGAAGACAATCCAGAAAAAAGCTCATGTCCTGTCTCCAACCTTAAGATACAGTAGCCCCTCCTTTATCTAAGGTTTCTCAGTTAATTGCAGACCAAAAATATTAAATGGAAAATTCCAGAAATAAAGAAAATCTGTAAGTGAGAAACTGCACAGTGTTCTGGGTCGCACGCTGAAACCTCACACTCTTCTGCTCAGGACGAGACTCATCCCTCGGCCCAGAGCATCCTCGCTGCCCATGCAGCCCACCCCTCAGTCCCCCAGCAGCCGCCGGCTCAGTCATCAGACCAGCTCTTTCGTTTCTGCCGCACTTCTGTTCAGGTGCCCCTTACTTTATTAATAATGCCACATTCACATAACTTTCATTACAGTGTATTGTTCTATTTTATTACTACTTATTGCTATTAATCTCTCACTGTGCTTAAACGTTATCATCAGTATGTGTACGCAGGACACAAAAATAGGTGCTACTGCGGTTTCAGTCAACCGCTGGAGATCTGGGAACGCATGCCCATGGGTAAAGCTGTTTCATTACTTCACTGTGTTGTAACACTCAGTACTGTGTCGTTTCACTACTTCAATACACACTGCACTTAGGGCAGTGCCCTCATCATTTCTTGCTTTTCAATGAAAGCAAACTATATAATAAATTTATTTGTCAAAAACTTCATGATAATTCTATTTTCAAAGTGTAATTTTTAAAAATTCTCACCTGAGGGCATGGTTGTTGATCTTAGAGAGGGGGAAGGGAGGGAGAGAGAGGTGGGGAGAAACACTGGTCAGGTGCCTCTTGTACGTGTCCCACCAGGGCCAAACCCACAACGTAAGCATGTGCCCTGACCAAGGATCACACCCGCGACCTGTGGGGTGACGCTCCAGCCAACTGAGCTACACCAGCCAGGGCTCAAAGTGTAATTTCTGAAGAAAAGGTATACCTCTTTTCGTTTTCATTATGAAAAAGTTCAAATGTACAAAAAAACCTAAGGAATAGTATAATGAACCCCTCATTCACCTGTCACCTACCTTTACTAATTATTATTAATATTTTGCCAGATTTGCTTGATATTTGTGTTCTTTACTGCTTAAATATTTTAAAATAATTTCTAGAAATCTAGATTTCTCTCTCAATATTTCATGATAGACTCCCAAATTTAAGGACATTTTTTATAAATAGTAATATCATTATAATATCTAATAAAAATGAGAGCAGCCCTAGGTGGTAGAGCTCAGTGGATTGAGTGCCAGACTGTGAAGCAAAGGTTTGCTGGTTCAATTCCCAGGCAGGGCACATGCCTGGGTTGCAGATCAGGTCCCAGTAGGGGGCACATGAGAGGCAACCACACACTGATGCTTCTTCTCTCCCTCCCTTTATCCCTCCTGTCCCCTCTTTCAAAAAATAAATAAATAAATAATTTTTTTAAATGAGAGCAATTCCTTAATATTACCTACCATTCAGTCAATATTTAAACTTTTCCAATATCCCTAAAATGTCTTTGTTACTTTAAAAAATAGAATATACACAATTTAATTTGTTGGGATGAGATTCCACGTTGCTGTTAGGAGCAAGACCCCAGTCTGCGCGCTCACCTTTGCTTCTCCTCTGTCGGAAGGCATTCAACAGATCTTTCTGGAAATTAGTTTCTCCAACGGAGGGTGCTGAGGAATTCAGGGCGTGTTCTTCATCCTCATACCACAACTTAAAAACAAAATTATCCGGTTACAAAAAAGTGGTAAATACAATGATCTTCTCAGTATAAAACTGGGCTAATCTATTACACTGACAACGAAACCCGTAATGCTTACAGTTAAAAAAAAATTACCTCGGGTACATCGAAGGGAACCTCCTGATTATTGTTTCTAAGGATTTCTGCTAATAACCTTAACGTCTCCCCACGAGGAATGATATTTTCTTCTTGCATTTTATTCCAGACAGCATCAGCTCTTTGCCAGTCACCATTTATTTCTATAAAATTTGATGAGACAGAAGTTAATGAACATACGAAGTAGAATTCATGAAAATATTTGGGACGTTGTCTTCTTTGATGTGGAAGGAAGCATCACGCCACACACTGCTTCCAGGCAAAGGAACAGGTGACTGCGGACCAAAGGTGAAATGGCTTCTTTTCTGCACGCCTTTTGAATTTTAAACCATAGAAATTCCTCGCCTATTAAAAAACAAGACAAACTCCTCCACCCCCACACTCTATTAAACACCTTAGAAATCACGTTGATAAAAAGTTTGTCTTTTTAAAGTAACTGAGAAACTGCGCACTGCTGGAGTCACACTCGGAGACAGGCATTCAGTCCTTGGGAAGATAATGGCTGGGTGTGTAAGGTGCAGGACACAGCTGACGGTCTAAGAGGTTTGAAAGTGTGCAGCTGGATGATTTTCTTTAAAAGTGACTAATCAAACCTTTTCACATAGTTGAGTAGGGAAAATTCTGTCTCTTCGGTTGACTTGAAAAACTCCTATGACAGTGTGTAATAACTTCTTATCTCAACAGACAATGCCACCAGACAAAGGAAGTATTGCAAGGACAGGAGGTTTATTGGAAGGAATTAGGCAGATTCCTTCATGTTGAAAAGTCTAGTTCCTTCTATGTGGTAAGCTAGTCTTCACAAATAATAAAATTTAAAAATCAAGACTTTAACCTATATAATTTTATTAACCAATGTCACCCCAATAAATTCAACTAAATCTACTAAAACCAAAAGAGCTTTACACATTCTAATGGGTTTTCAAGAGAAAAGATCAAATAATTCAACATTCTGCTTGTGAAAACCTATAGCAGAATATGAAAAGTGCCGTGTGACACATTAAGTTCTAAATGACTACTAAACACAAAGAAATACCGCTCTAGACTCCCACTCTGGAACCACAAGGGGTAGAGGATGGCCGCATGGCAGACAGTGTCCAGGAGGTTACCGGGGTGTGCGGACAGGGGAAGGTGCAAGAGTCGGTGAGCTGTCCCTCCATGCCCTGTATACCCGGAGGCCTGGTCTGCCGAGGGTTTTGGGGAGCGGGGTCGAATTGCAGTCAAGGGGCCAGGAGAGGAGGTAAAACCAAGCTGTGAGGTCAGACCAGGGCGTGGAGTTGAGGGCAGTTGTTTTGTAGAAAGCCCTCAGGTCCCCGTTCAAATCTACGCCCTGTCCAGCTGCTCCATTTCCTCATCTGTAAACCTGGACATTGCTGCTCCCAGGGTTCAGCATGACCCCTGTGTCCCTTGGTCCCTGGACCTGAACACAAGAAGATGTCCCATGGCCTAGGACAAGTGTGCCCTCTGGGACAATGGGAGCAGAGCTGGGGGAGGACATAGGAAAGCTTTGAGGAGTTGGGGGTCCCACCAGCATGTTGGCCCTCCAGACATCACCTGCCATGTGAGGTCCCTCCTGTGCCGAGGTGACACAGCAGGTGCTCAATCAATACTTGTGAATAATTAAATACTTGTAATAATTGAATATTTGTAATTAAAAAAAATTTTTTTTAATCCTGTTTTAAATGTGGTTTTTTAATTTGCAAATATGAAGATGGAATATCTCAACTGTGCACAGTCAGCTCTAGGAAGGGGGTTTGTTTCAAGGCACAAATGTTTCAGAAAACATAATTTGCTTCTCAAATATACCCAAATACCTAATGAAACAAATGAGGTATTCCTAGATTATTACCCCACCCCCCAAAACTTACAACCCAAAATACAAAGTTTAATAGGACCACATTTCATATACTACTCCATACCATATGTTCCTTTTCAAATAAATTGAGTCCACAGTGTCTAGTAAATTGTTTCACAGATTTAACTAGTGGTCCAGGTCAGAGGGCAAAATGGAGAGAAGGGGCCACAGGAGGAGGTAACTTGCTTTGTCCTCCAGACAGAGAAGAGTTGGGGTTATCACTCCACACTGTCTATTTACAGCACTGTCGAAGGTGGGAAGTACACAAACTGAGTCAAAAGGCGCCCTTCTCTGCAGACTCCTCCGGCCTCCAGCCTCACGAGAGGTTACAGCGCTCCTGACTCGCGGCTCGAGTGCAGAGTGAGAAGCTGGAGTCAGGTGTCCAGCAGAACAGATAGGGGGGAATTAAGGAGAAGAAAATGGTAGTAAACCTCAGAGACTGCTTATCCCTAAAAGAAATTCTAAGATGAACTTTAAAAGTTGTTTCTTTTCTTTCTAAGAATCAACAGCGAAAGGCCATGTGCATAAGAAAAGGAATGTTGTGAGGCGGGCCACCTCTCCCCCTTCCCTGGACCACCACTGCGCCCTGAACACTCCCGCAGTTGTTACTTCCTCCCCTGCTCTTGGTCTGGGTGCCCGGCCCAACTCTTCCCGCAGGACGCACTGCCCTTACATCTGCAGTGCCCACCTCAACGGCCAGCACAGTAACAGTGTCGGAGACAATTTTCTTCTGAATGAAAGTTTATACAGTTTTCTATGCGGACTACTGTGATTGCTGAGACTCATTTTGATAGACTCAGTATTTTTCTGAGGTTTGCATAAAACAAGAATTTAAGCATGGAACAGTCAGTTCTTCAAAAGGGAGAAAATGTGAGGGAAAGAGGAAGAATTAGTATTCATTACAGGTTATAATCCACAAAATTTAAGGATTAAATGACTAAAATATAGCTTTTTAAATTCTATATAGTCAATAACAACCTCACTATTGGGAGCCACAATTTGATCATCAAGCCAAAATGTTAAGACTGACAATACAAGGTGAAGTAAGAACTGTCAGAATGCCTGAGAAGTGGGTACCTCAAAGCAACCAACACTGAAACGTAAATTTTACAGCAAGCTGCCTTCCACTTCTACCATCAAAATGTAAGATAAAGCTCCCAATGATAAGAAATACAAGTTCAAAAAGACAAACGAACCAGCTCATTCATGCTGTCTACGTTTGGGGAAAAAAAGTTTCCCATTAGAAAACGAGGACAGGAAGTCTGGATCAACGGTCTCTGAAGGAAAAAGAGAAAACTCAACAGACTATTCAAGTGTTGTTCCCTCCACCCAAATACGCCAAAGAGACTGCCAAGTTCCCAGACGGGTAAAGAGGTAGAGCACTATTGGGTAACAGACATCCAAAGTTCCAGGTATGTCAATCATTTCCAACCTTTAACACAAATACAAATGTAGCCCCCCAAAACAATTAGAGTGTTAACAAAAATTAAGGTACAAAGATAACTAATGCAATGTTAATTTATAATATGAAAAACTGAAATCTATTCACATGTCTAGCCATAGGATATTGATTAAATTCTAGTTCAATGTAGTCATTTATAGGTAATAAATGTAGGAAAATGTTTGTAATACAGAATTGAGTCAAAACCTGTATTATAATATGATCACATTTTAAAAAGAAACCGCTAAGCAATGAGTCTGTACATCAACATGCACTTTTCTGGAAAAAGATCTATACTCAGGAACACTGTCAACCGTCACCTAGGTACAGAAATGAGTGATACATCTAGACGGAAAATTTTCAACTGGTGGGCAGCAAGAATTTTTAAAACATTCAATACCTGGCTGATTTAGTCAGGAGCCATGATTTCTTTTTCCTTAGACCGTCAAATAAAAAAATGACAACAACCAACACAAGAATAGCCAAATGGTGTGAATGAATCAATTAATTACACCAATGTTTTTGTTGGATTGGAAAAAAAATATATTTTTTGGTGTGTTGCAGAATTTTAGTAATTAGTTTATGTGTGCCACGAGGTGAAAAGGGTTGAGAATAGCTGATCTAGAGATTATACATAAAGAAGAAAAAGAATATCTATCCTCAAAAGTCCTATTAAATCATGCAATTCTGATAAAGATTTTTCTCATCTTCTCATTACTGTGGTAAGAATATCAGAAATTATAATGTCTAGCGATACAATATAACATTTTGTGATAAAGTTCAACCTGGCCTCTGCTTGAGCCTCTTTAGAATATTCCACCTCTGACAATCCCTGGAGCTTCCTCAAAGCCTGAGACTCCTTTCCTGCCCACTGCCTTGAACAGGATTTATAAATGTATCAGAATGGAAACATGAGGAACAGTCAGATTACTTACTGTACAGTTTTAGCAGATTGTAGTACAGCTGGTCTCTGTCACATTCAAATAGCTTCTGTGTCAGCTCCACTAATTTTTCTAGAGTTTCGACCTTAAAAATAAGAATGACAGATGGATCTAGTCTGTACAAAAGATATATTTTCTAGTTGACAAATCTCAGTTGAATAATCCTTGAAATCAGCTTTACCCAAAAGGAAAATTTACTTCAAAAGTTAAAGGGTTGAGTACAAAGATGTGAATGCATTTAATGCCACTAAACTGTACACCTTAAAATGATTAAAATGAGAATTTTTATTTTACATGTGTTTTATCACTATTGAAAATAAAAAAAAATTTTAGGTTACAACATTCAAGGACTCCTCAGGGCCAAGAACACCATGTGCCCAACCATCCAGTTGAGAGAACCTCCCCCAGGTGCATTTTGGAGAATTCGAAGATATTTGGTGTGGATGACTCAGTGAATATATCCTGCACTTATTTATTCATAAGAATACCCTTCCACTCAAATGTTGCACTACTGTCCCCCGTGGCTTTGACTCAGCAGGATGGAAACAGGTCTCTGAACTGCAGAGGTAAAAGAGGTAAAGTAGAATTTCCACTGGGCTCTCATCAAGAGACTCCTCTGGTCACCCAGGACTGAAGTGGATTTTAATTGACAAGGAAAAATAAGGTTAGCCTGCTCAAAACAAGTCAGATAAAGCAAGCTACAATCTTCATGGCTCAACTCAGAACTTTTAGGAACTACCACACCACAGAAATAAGAATTAAGCTATAGCTTATTTGGAAAACAGCTAACATAGCACTACTTCCATTAATAATGCTCTATCTCCTGAAATCCCCAAATGCTTACACGACATGTAGGACACTTGCTTTCTACTCGAGGTTTTAGGTGCTGTAGACCACAAATTAAACACAAACCTGATTGCTTGAAATACATCTTTCACAAAACCACTGGAGCCTTGCAGGCCGAGCTCTAATACCTGGAGTCTGTAAAACAAAATAATCATACAGCATACAAGGTAAAGCTTTAGTTAAATGTTAATTTTCCCTCAAAGACAAATAATTTTCCTTTAATGGATCTGCTGCCTCCTTTTAGAATATATATTATTAAAGAAACCTATAACTTAAACCCACAGTTATCAAAGACATTTAGGATCAGAAGAGAGCATAACATAAGACCTATACCTAACCCGTGTCTAGGAGATTCAGGTGATTTCAAAATCCTGCTTTGCAGATCTATTTTCATTTCATAAATCTTCAGCTATTAAAATGGGTAAGCTTTCTTTAGTTCAAATAGAAACCTTGAAATAATGAACTAAATGAACTCCAAAATATGTCAAATTGAACAGATCCCATCTCGTGCCCTGCCTCCCCTCCTCAGACATGCCAATAGAGTCAGGAAACAAAAACTATTAACGTTACACAGACTTATTAACAATTGTCACAATAATAAGCCAATGGCTGTTAAAAACTGCTTTGTAAAATTTTAGTGATAAGTCTTCTGACTACCGCAAATGCTTGCCTAGTATCTTAAACTAAATGTTTAAAGAGCTAAATACTTAGATCAAAACAATGAACAGTAAAATGACAACTCACAACCATCAACAACTGAACCTAAAAAATAAAAATAAAAACAAACTAAGCAAACTAGAACAAGAACAGAATCACAGAAATGGAGATCAGATGGAGGGTTGTCAGCAGGAAAGGGGCGGAGGGGGGACTGGGGGAAAAGGTAGAGGGAATAAAAAGCATAATTGGTAGGTACAAAATAGACAAGGGGAAGTTGGTCCAAAGGTTGTGGGTTATTGTTAAGCTTATTATCAAAATAGACAGGGGGAGGTTAAGAATAGTACAGGAAATGGAGAAGCCAAAGAACTTATACGTATAGCCCATGGACATGAACTAAAGGGGGCGGGGGATGCTGGACGGAGAGGGGGTGCAGGGCGAGGGGGATATAGGGAAGGAAAAAAATGAGACAACTGTAATAGCATAATAATAAAATATACTTAAAAAAGAGCTCAGTACTTAAATCAAGCTAAGTACCTAAAATTAGTTTAGAGCCTCAATTCTTTGAATAATTGAAACATATATCTTCAATTAGAAATTACTAAGGTTTAATCCATAACTCTGGTTTCAAAGCCATTATTTTACAATTTTCAATACTGGGATAAAAGACAAACCATTTCACATATAATTCCATGGATTTTTCACTGTAACTATAGTATTTTCATCATCTGTAAGAGGGCTTCACCATTAAATACTACATTTCAATCACAGCATTATGGTAAGAAAACTACATACTCATTAGCCCTGGCTGCTCTAGTCTAGAGGAGGTACCTTTATTTGCCTTCTCCATTCAGTTTTGTTGACTAAGCCAAGTATTCCCCCCAATCTGATTCCTTGTAAGTCCTCATTATTTTATTTCTTAAAATAATATTGTACAATGCTAAATTAACAAGTGAAGTAGAAACTAGCATCTCGGAGCTTTGGTAGAATGACGGAGAAATTGGTACAGCAGTGTTGTACAAGTGTGCTCATTCTAACAGTGCAAGTATCCACATTTCGGGATACAAGAAATGAATGTTGAATAAATTAATTTTTGAAATATATTTTCAATTATCATTAATATTCACATTTTTACATAATTCCCGTGCAAGGGTTTCCTCACATTATCTATTTTGTTTCATATGCATTACACTGAAAATGACACCAACATCAACCTCATACAAAAGTCCTTGAAAAAATACTAGATAATCCTTTTTCAAACATGGCATAATGCAAGGGTTATATTAACTTACAACTTTCAATATTACTGCTGATCCAAATGCCAACAATCTAAACAGCACAACTTCATGTCAAACTCTTCCTCATTGTGGCAGATTAATCCCTCCGTCCCTGGCAGGACAGCTGACTTATACACAGCTATTCCTACGTTTCATTTTGAAATTGAGAACTGCTTTCACACAAATCTCAATCATCAAAAGAACATCTAGGTCAGATTAACTAAATCTCCTAGGCTTCTGTCACGGTCTACATTGCTGGCTTTTCTCTTAACGTCTTATTGCATTTTAAACACTGCAAGTTGAAAGCAAAAATAGAAAAAATAATAAAAACACGGAGAAGAATAGAATTGTAATTGGCATGTTGACTATAACTTATCAAAAACCAGTTAATGCTTCATTAAAACAATGGACTCACTTCTAGTTTTTTGCTTTCACTATATACAATCTACTTAATGAACAGTGAGAATAACATAATCATTCTAATAAAAAATGGCGTGGCTGTTTCCAACTGGGTTACTGTGCTTCAAAACACTTTATGAAGTTCTGATTCAGTACTAGGTTCACTTGTGTAAGATCAAAAAGCAATCCGAAATTAAAAATAATTTCATTACTTTAACATCATTCTGTTAGTGATATAAAATTTGTTATAATAGGCTTTTATGTATACTAACAAAAACAGATAAAGTAATTATTACCTTTAAAGGGAAAATATTCTTTTACTTCAAACTCTATCTCAAAAAAAAAAAATCTTAAATTTGACTGAGAATTTTTTACCTATTTTAATTCTTCTTGCCATTACTGCTAGAAATGGAAAACAAACATCCACCCACGGCCTCATGTTGCTGAGCCACAGTATTAGGAGGAAAGTCAAGTGCACACGGGGGCTGGACAAACAAAAACAACAAGAACCCAACTATTATCCACAGAGCCAGGATAGCAAGGAAGGGAAAAGGGTATTGTGGAACTTATTAAACCTTTCCATGTTTGCCCTTTTATCCAAAATCTTCAGAGATAAACGTACAGACCACGTCTAGTAAGGAGGAAATACGCAGGACTGAGCAAGTCAAACCAACAGTCCAACTACTGTAAACCAACCACGACTCACTCGACCAGGCATTAAAGGAGACGCCAAGTAAACAGACTCATGGCGGTGGGGCAGGGACTGGCATGAGAACTGACATCTCTTAAAATCTGGGAGGTCAGGGGGAAAAAAACTAGCTCTAAAACCCCTTCTATGTATATAAGATCCATCCTGACTTATCAGGGAAGGCACATTAAGGTAAAACCCCAAATTTGATCTAGTCAAGAACAAAAAGCATGAGTAACAAAGATTGGGGGATTGCTATTATCCAAACTTTTGATCCAAAACACAAACCGTAAGAAGAAAGTTTTGCCCCATGAGAAGACAGCAGACGTACTCTCTCTGCAGCGTGATGAAAGGACAGCAGATAAGGAGCGAGGAACAAACTCGGGGAAGAGTACTTGTGGAGAAAGGTAAGTTGTTCTGGGGTTTCGGACACTGAAGGGGCTAGCGATAATGGAGTCATACTGCAATATATAAATGTATCAAATCAACACACTGTATATCTTAAACTTAGACAACATTTCTTATCTTGAAGGCAGAAATGTTATAAGGGAACCAATAGAAAACATGAAATCAGGACCCAATCTCAAATTCCATGACTACTACGAACTAAACAAGCTGTAATTTACATGCTAAAGTTTCTTTGCCCTAGTAACTTCTGAGTTGTTTTGTGATGCTTATATGAAGATATACATAGAAATCACTTGAGAAGTGTAGAAGTGTTACCAATATCATTAGCTATACTGTTTAGCCTGTTTGAACCTCAAGGGAAGAAGTTAGAAGAAGTAAGTTTAAAGCAGGCTCTTGCTCATCTTTGTGTTTGTATTGAGAGCTTAGCAGCACCTGGCACATGACAGGCACTTAGTAAGTGGTTACTGAACTGCTCAAAGGTTAAGAATAAAACTAGATAATATATTTCTTTACAGAAACTTCTATTTTTAAATATATTTTATTGATTATGTTATTACAGTTATCCCATTCCCCCCTTTATTCCCCTCTGCCCTGCACACCGTCCCACCCGCATTCCCCTCTTTACTTCATGTCCATTGGTCATTCTTTGGCTTCCACATATCCTACACTATTCTTAACCTCCCCCTGTCTATTATCTACCTACCATTCATGCTACTTATCCTCTGTACCTTTTCCCCCTCTCTTCCCCTCTGGCTCCCCCACTGATAGCCCTCCATGTGATCTTCATTTCTGTGATTGTTACTGTTATGGTTGTTTATGTTTTTCTTTTTTTTTTTAGTTCAGTTGTTAATAGCTGTGAGTTTGTTGTCATTTTACTGTTCATAGTTTTGATCTTTTTCTTTTTCTTACATAAGTCCCTTTAACATTTCATATAATAAGAGCTTGGTGATGATGAACTCCTTTAACTTGACCTTACCTGGGAAGCACTTTATCTGCCCTTCCATTCTAAGTGATAGCTTTGCTGAATAGAGTCATCTTGGATGTAGGTCCTTGCCTTTCATGACTTCAAATACTTTGTTCCTTACTTGCCTGTAAGGTTTCTTTTGAGAAATCAGCTGACAGTCCTATGGGAACTCCTTTGTACATGACCGTCTCCTTTTCTCTTGCTGCTTTTAAGATTCTCTATCTTTAATCTTAGCTAATGTAATTATGATGTGCCTTGGTGTGTTCCTCCTGGGGTCCAACTTCTTTGGGACTCTGTGAACTTCCTGGACTTCCTGGCAGTCTATTTCCTTCACCAGATTAGGAAAGTTCTCCTTCATTATTTGTTCAAATAAGTTTTCAATGTTTACTCTTCCTCTTCTCTTCTGGCATCCCTGTGATTCAGATGTTGGAAAGTTTAAAGATGTTTTGGAGGTTCCTAAGCCTCTCCTCATTTTTTTGAATTCTTGTTTCTTCATTCTGTTCTGGCTGAATATTTCTTTCTTCCTTCTGCTCCAAACTGTTGATTTGAGTCCTGGTTTCCTTCCTGTCACTGTTGGTTCCCTGTGTATTTTCCTTTCTTTCACTTCACGTTTTCCTCTATTTTGTGACCACATTCAACCATTTCTGTGAACACCCTAATTACCACTGTTTTGAACTGTGCATTTGATAGGTTGGCTATCTCTTTGTCGCTTGGTTGTATTTTTTCTGGACCTTTGACCTGTTCT